ACCGTGTCGTCCAGCATCGTCGTACTACCTGAAAATAACGGGAAACGGGCGTTAACACGAGTCCGAAAAGCCCTACCGTCGGCGCCGCCGGGCCATTGAACATTGAACAGGCAGCTATGGGAGGGACGAATTTGTTTGATACCTAATCACTTAAGCGTTCACAAGAAAAAGCCAGCGCAGAATATGAGAAGGAACAACAATCTAATCGATTTAAACGTGTTCCTACGACGAATTTGAGCTTCAACCATCGATAGTTTGTGTTTTATATTGTACAAGGTGTGTACGTACCTACGGGCGGAATCTCTAGCATGCCAGGCTAGATAGATTCCACATCGGATATGGAACCTATCGTTCGGATCAGGGCTATTAGCACCTCGTTTAGTTCTGGCCCAGCGTAGACTCAAGGCCCTAGACTGGACCCCGAGTCATGTGTCGAACACACCTCAGTTATTCACAGAAGCGGGGCACACACCCCATAGCTGTCCCCCTCCCTTCCCCCAACCACGCCGCCCCCCGGTTCCAGCCGCCCCACTCCCAGTGTCCCGCCTCCCGGCGGTAACCCCCAGTTCCCGCGCCGCCCCCGGCTCACCGGCATGGTTCCCGGGCCGCCCCTGGCTCACCGGTGTGGTTCCCGGAACCGTTCTGCAGCTGACCGGGTTCGGGGAAGGCCCCGGTCCGCCTGGGGGACCGAAGGAGAAAGGGAGTCAGAATCGGCGCAGTGGCTAATAACAGCTGAATGGCTGAAACAGCGCTACCAGTCGGAGCAAACGGAACTAGTAAGTAGCGGATAGCGAGGCCGAGCAAGAGAGGTGGATCGGGAGGGCAAGAAACTGAAACGATGGTGTATGTACTAATAAAACATTCACGGGAAGCCTGCGCAGCCGACGAATATATGTTACAAAAAAAGCTTGATTTTCAGCCTCAGTGGCTGGATAACTTAGTGTAAAGATAGACTCTATCGAAGGAGTCGAGAATCGCTAATCTCTGTGTTATTATTTCAAACCGATTGATAACACAGATGACACAGTCTTCGAACTATTCTCAGTTTTGCCGACAAAAGAACAACTACCACGTAGTGACTCAGGAGCGAGGACCGTACTAAGGGTTGCTTGGAGGGCCCTCTGGACCTTACGCACCTCCCACCCGCTGGGTCCACTCCTGTGTTGACAAAACACGCATCTACCACGTTGCCATGGTAACGCATCATTCACCCTACGTGTTCACCCATTGGCGCCGATTGACGACCACTGAACTGTGAACAGCTACAAATAGGTCTGACGACTGACCGACCGGTGTATGAAAGCAGCTGATCGTCTCAGTCTCAGTCTCAGGAACGGAAATGACGACAGCCACTGTCAGCAGAACATGGCGGGAGAAGAACGCTCTCAAACGGGACGGTGATGCAGGGTATATTGAATTAGAGGTGATGTGGAAACTCTACGGTAGGTAGTTTGTTTGTAACCCCACGGTAGCAGTTGGTAACGTCTGCAGTGAATGTAGCCTGACCCAGAAGCAGCCTAAATGTGTCGACGGCTCAACCCAAAATTATCGATGGCACTTCAGGTGGCCGCTTTTATTATTTCATTTTTATTCATTTTGATTTTGTGTGGTGCTTTCTATGACTTTTCCAGGCATGGGCGGTGGGGGCGTTTCCTCTTTCTTTCATTGCGGCGTTTGGGGTGGCGTTGTTAAAGTTGACTGCGGGCGTGCGGAGACAAGACGGGCGTTTTCCTAGTGCTGACTTTTTTCGCGGTGTTTATGTCATCTTTGTTGGCGGCTTGCGTGCAGGCGATTCTTTTTATATACTTGGGCTTTAATTTCTAAGTTTTCTTTTTTCCTTTCTTTCAAACCTTCGGTCCGGAGACGTAAGGAATTGCATTACCACTTTGGTTATGACAGCGGTCCGCCACGGTTTCGGGATTGAGGGAGAGTTCGACCAAAATTTACAAACATCTTTTCACATGAGGCTGCATTACGGAAGATAAATTTCTGGGGTTCGGACCCCCCCCCCCCCCCCCACCCCGGCAGTAGAGCCTTTGTGATGGTAGTGGTACGCACTTTCGTCTGCAGCCCGTCGCCGATTCAATCACTCACGGGGCATACAATACCAGCGCCCCCACAACAGTTAGCTCATAGTTGTAGTTACAGGGTTTTGACACTAGGTGGCAGTAAACAGCTGTTTCATCGACGGCCGATGTTTACTGCCACCTGGTGGCGAGTTGCTGTAACTACAGCTGTTGACTGGCCGCTGTAGAGGCGCTGAGCTGGCTCCGTACAAAAGTTTGCTTCGGAGATGTCCGTCAGACAAATGTATGTCTGCAAATGTACGCATGACAGAGAGATCGTAAATGTCAGAATGAGCAAAGCATAGGTTTGGTTATGCTATGCGCGGCTGAATTCGGTAAGGCTTACCCCAGGTTGGGTAAGATTTTGTCAATCATCTTTTGTTTATTGCTTGAATTTTGTTTTTTACGCCTACGCGATTTTTTTTTGTCCGTGCAGCACTTTTTTATCCGAATTTTTAACCATTTAATTGCTATTCGTACCAATAGTTCTCCCCGTGACGTAATTTGGCTCTTTAAATGATTCACTTCCCTTGGCAGATTTGTCGAATTTTCTATACGCTTATTTGCTGTCAACCATTTACGATACGAACTCCTGTCCTAGCATTTCAGCAATACGAACTTTTGATCTCGCCCGTCTCGCCCATTTACAGGGCTCGATACTAGCGCCGCCCCATCGCGTATTTTGTAGTTGTAGTTTAAGAGATTCGCCACCAGGTGGCAGCAAGCATCGAACAACGCTTGCCTACTCATTTCAAACATATTTCGCAACAGACGCTTCGATCACCGCGTCTTTTCTCTGTTACTGTAAGCGGCAAGCGCTCAGGAGCTGCGAGATTCCCGCAGAATTGTTACAATGTCTTGATATTCCCACGGCTGACCTTTCGCCCATCCAGGGCCTCGGCTAACATGTTAACTGGTGGGCCAAATGGCCCACCAGTGACCCGAAATGGCCCACCAGCCTCATAGATTTGGCCCACCAGTAATTTTCCGAAAAATCTAAGTTTCCACATTTTTCACATTTCAAATTGAATTAGCAGATCCTATCGTACATTTTCAGGCTGTAAAGTACCCATCGGTGATACATATTCTTGTGAAAAAATTCAACCTATTGTTTGCAATATCCTCTTGGGGTAAAAAGTGAACTATAGTGGACTAAGTGGACTAAGCCTCGGTCACACTTCACCGGATTGGACCAATGGACGAGAAACGGACGGCGTCCGGTGATGTCCGGGGGATGTCCGTTCGTTTCCGTTGGACGTCCGTTTCTCATCCGTTCATATCCGTTCCATGTCCGGTGGTGTCCGATGTGCTCAACCGGACACCACCGGACATGGAACAGATATTAACGGATGACAAACGGACGTCCAACGGAAACAAACGGACATCACCGGACGCTGACAGTTCTCGTCCGTTTCTCGTACGTTGGTCCAATCCGGTGAAGTGTGACCGAGGCTTTAAATTTTATGCAATAATCGCGAAAGACGTCTGCCTCTGTCAATTACAGATAGTGTCGGCGGCTTCCAGCCGATCGAGGTCTGCGAGAGTTCTTGCAAGCTTTCCGATCGATCGAGTGGTTGCAGTCACATAAGCATCTGTCGCAGACCAGTCGGTTACAAGAAAAACTACGAATAAAGAACAGACCAGTTCAGACGGTCGGGGATAAGCCTCCGAGCGATCTCAGACGGCTCGCCGATAGACACGATATAAGCCAGAGTCAAACTAGAGGTAGTGTCGGCGACTTCCAGCCGATTGAAGTCTGCAAGCGATATTATGCGTCTTTACGACCGGTATGATGCTTGCAGTCACACATCTGACCAGTTGGACGAAGCGTTCCAAAAAATTTTCATTTGGGCTGAAGATGACACTCAAGAATAAGAATGGATAATTTTCCACTCTCACATTTTGGGTGACTCGAACTGAGTGCTGTTCACAATTCCTCCCGATCCACCCAACAACGCCCGATCCCGTCCGACCGCTTCCGAATCTCCGACTAGTCGGCGAGCGATCCACTCACGGCCGTAAGTTATCGTCCAAAGTTTTATAATCTGCGTCAATATTGTGTGCATACTTGTGCCACGGAATATATAGTCTACGACATGTCGATATGTCGATATGTACTACGATATGTCGTAGACTATATATTCCGTGCTTGTGCGATTTTATGTGCACCGCGGGAGTATCACCACTGAGAGGGTTGTGGGTCCCTACTCTCTCCTCTCTCTCTCTCTCTGAAGAGTCGGGGGGGGGGGGGTCGAGCCCCGTTTTTTTTTTTTGGAACATTTTTTGAATGCTATCCTGACGTTTTTTGCAGAATAAAGTGGCCGAAATCTGGGGAGAAATCGAAAATTGAGAGGGGGGGCTATGGCTACGAAGGTCAGTCCATGTCGCTGCCCAAGTGGCCCACCAGTCAAAATTCCTTAGCCGAGGCCCTGCGCCCATCCCAAAGGCTTCTCCAAAACGCACTCGACAGATACTGAAGGGGAACAATTTTGCTCGTACGCCCCACACTGCATCAGATACTACCGCGACTACCGCAGGGCTCACGCTACGCGTCGCTGTAGGCAGGTAGACACTTCAAGCCACCTACTTTGGATTATTGAAAACGAAAATCCAGATTCCAGATACTCCGTTCAAATAAATAACCGATGCACTATGCAGATAGTTCACTTTGGCAGTGACTGCTCCTTCAAGCAATCATTACAATTTATCACCTCGCTTCTTTGCGCTTAGCCCAGTCGACCAATCGCTAAAACCTCTCGATTTGCCACACTGTCACCATATACCACGCTCCTAACGTCCCCATGGTTCTCTTTTCAATGCCGTTCCGCCTTTTCCTTTCTCAATTAAAACCATTGTGTTATATGTCGTGGATTGTATAACCCTCTTGTGTTCCCGAGTTCTAACACCAACTACAGATAAACACACTACCGTCAGTTCCGTTCCGACCGTAATTGTATTTCAGCGCCGTCAGTCAAATCAGTCTGTCAGTCCGTCAGACTGGGACCTATGTCAGTCCGATCAGCTGAGTGCGGGGCCGGCTCCTGGGGGCGGCGCGGGCCTACCGACCTCCGGCCCGGCTCAGTGACCCTCTGAGGGCTCACCTCACCGGGGAGGTCAGCTCAGCGCCCGTCCAGCCGGCCGTCTGACCGGCCACCGGCGGCGACACCTCACTGACCTCTCAGCGGGGTCGGACCGGGTCAGCTCACTGGCCCTCCTCCCGCTGCTGGGTCTGCACCTGGCGGTGGTTCTTCATCAGGTAGTCGGTGAACTCCTGGATCGGAGACATGGTGAACACGTTCTCCTTCCACAGGTCCGGAGTCAGGTAGCCGTACGTCTTGGCGATCGCAGCGTACGTCGCCTTGGCTGTGGGACGCGAGGGGGTAAAAAGTCAGCGGTGAGGGGGTCATGGGGGGGGGGGGGTAATACAATATAATGGAATATTAATTTCAAATGAGTTTGCACTATACACAATGAGTACGGCTCACATCAAATCTTTTACCATCTGATAGAAACATTCACAAGTAGACATAAGCATATGCAAACATAAGCGACTGCTATTTTTAATAAAAAAACTAGTAATTGTACGCGAACAGTAAATCCAGCACGACTGCGCCTCCCAACCCTGTGTAGTGTGTACACCTCTCCCACCGAATACCCCTTCCCCTCTGCTGCGTACCGAAGTTGCCGAGCGTGCTGGTGCTGCCTCGGGCCGAGGTGTAGCAGTCCTCGATACCGGCCATGGTAAGCAGGTGTTTGGGGATGGCGCCGACACAATGCCGGTACCGCGAGAGCCGGATCAGCCGCACCTGCACCGAGCCGCACTTGCCCGTCACCTTGCAGGGAACCGTGTGGGCTTGCCGATCTTGTTACCTGCGGAGAGAGAACGGGAGGGTGAGAATACAGCGAGAGTGGAGATACAACATGGGGACGTGTTGTCGAAGTGCGACAATGTAATACACGGCACAAAGAAAGCAAGCGGCATACCACTAAAAAGCGCATGTTCGCGATCATTCACGTCGTTCCAAAAGCCCATCCATCAAATTAACTCTGTCCGGAAAGGCATGCCCAGTTATCTGTCCAAAGAGGCCATTATTTCGCAATAAGTGCACAAGTAGACCACCAAACGTTTTAGCATCAAACAACGCATTCGCGCTGTTAACATCACATGCACTAGCGGATATTGGTCGCCCATGTTCCCGCCCGCTGTATTACCAGTCGCGCGACTCACCCCAG